TCGTTCCGTTCTCCTGGTTCCAGGTTGGTGGAGTATGGCTTCTCTTTCTAATGTTGACCCCATGTTAATCAACCCCAGTTTATTACTTTGGGGGTGTTCCCCTCCAAATGTGATGATTCCCCACTAAACCAGGGACACCCGCATATTAATACACACCCTGGGGGGTAAAAGGCTTTTAAAACAAAGGCCGTTACATGAACATCCTTTGTTTGACTAGCTGGGGGATGGGGCCTGGGTGGAATTCAAGCTTTACATCGTCAGCAAAAAGCCAAGCTAGACTTGCGAAAAGCCTTAACGTTAAAGCAACACATTTCTGCATCCTCAATGGAACAATCATGGTCTTCCCGAAACATCCATTCAGCAGGACCTTCTCAAACCCAGCAGCAAACAATGCTAGCCAGGACGAATGTGCGTGGTTTTTCGCCTGCCAAATTTCACGGCGTTTCACGGTCTTTCACTGCAAAAAATGGGCGTTCACGCCAATTTCACGGCATTTTCACGCTTTCCCCTTGTCGATGTCCCAGTGCTAAGCCCATGATCAATGTTTCTAGAAATCCCATAAAGTCGAAGACCTTGAGCATTGAACAGCTTGAACATGTTGACATGGCTTTCTCGCAGCTTTGGAAAGCGTAGGTTTCAGCCACAAGCACTACAAAGCCATTTGGCTACTAATGCGGCCAAAGAAAACACGGTCAACCCAACTAAAAGCGTCCGGCTTGCAAACAAAGAACTTTCCCCACATTTTACGGCCGCTTCCTAAAGGCCTTTCTTTTTAAGGCCCCCGAACCCCAGGGACACAGGGGTTGATAAATATGGGGTCAACATTACTCGATACCAGCTACCGGAGAATCGATCCGACCTTGGAACACACCCTGTGGTGGATGTTTGACGATTTTCCTGCAGGATGTTTGTTGGCTCGCTGATTTATATCACTTGCTTCGGAAATCCCTTCGGCACCAAAAGATCCAGGCAAGTTGCGACAATTACATTTCACAAACCCCAGTTTCAAAAAATATCCACAAGTCAGGGACCAGCGTCATCTAGGTCCTCCAGTAGAGAGGTTACAACAAGGGCATCCATTTTCTGTAGTCTATTTTAGTAGGGGAACCCTCCCCAAAAAAAGAAACGGAAAAAGGGCACCAATTGCTGGGGGACTAACGTCATGGGTGAGCTCGTTCCATTTCCTCTCCCCACCATCGCCCAGCTCCAGCGCTCTCAGCGCCTCAAAGCAAGAGCAGCCCAGCGAGAAGATGTCGCTCTTCGGCCCGTACCTTCGGCTGGGCTCGTGGGAGCGAAATTGTGTAACTCCAAATATATGGCCATGGGTCAAAACCCCAAAAAAGTACCCCCAGTGAACATCCCAATCCAACCACTAAAATAGACTTCAATGGGTGGTGCACCTACCCCAAAATGGTACCATTGGCGTTGACCTATGCGGCCATATGTCAACCCATGAAAATCCAATGCTACCTCATGCCGGCTCATACCAGGGTCATGCTCGCGAGCTTCATACCCCCGGGGTTCACACCAGAAGGTCATATGATGAAATCTCGACTGTCCTACCCCTGGCCTGGAGACCATTTCATTCAAACCCATGCCGCCCAATTAGCAACCACCTTCCCGCCCCCCCCCCCCCCCCGCCAAAAACAAAAAGACAAACCCAGTAGGATTGTCCATGCGGCTCACTGGGAACATGCCGCCAACAAAGGACCCAACACCGCAGATCAAAGATGATCACCTACGACTCAAAATTTGGACCAAACAGGGGAAACAAAAAGACAACAACATGTTGAAAAGGTCGGCTTTGGGCAAGTGAGCTTTTGGTCGGAGAAAAGGGAAGCCACAAGAACCCCCCAACGTTTGTGAGAGATGAACAAAGGACCCAGCGAACTTGGCGCTCCCTCACCGAAGGGCTTTGCTCCTGCGCGCATTGACCCGACCCGACCGCAAAATAGGACCCGCCTGCGGCCCAGCCAGACCTGCGGGCCGTTGGCATTCCCCCGGCGAAGGGGACAAAGTGGCATAGGTCGTAGGGGCGAAAAACAACGGCCGTGTTTTTTTGCGCGGAACAGGTAGACAGCCACGCACTCTTAGACAGTTCTCTGGGCGAATTACAAGTCACACACTTCGCCAAGCCCGAGTGAGGATATTCTGGGAGCTTTTCTTCTTTTGATGTCCCAGGACGGGTCTAACAGAAATTCCCCAAAACAGAAAAAGGGAGACCAGCTGGCAAAAAAAAGCAAACGCGATTGCCAGCCCGTGGGTTTCTATGGGTTTCTCAGTGGAAAGAGAGGTGGGCTGACTCGCAACCTTACATCCAAACACCAAGGTCGATCTCCATTTGGGAAGCCCCGAAGGTGGGGAGGCACACAAGGTCCGCGTGAGAACATGCAACCAGTCAGTCTGTCCTTTGGCTGAGGCCTTTAAGCACAACCCCTGCAAACTGTCCGAAAGGAATCAACTCCGTGCGAGGGACCCGCAAGCTCGGTATGCTTGCGTCAAGTTGGGACCTCCCACGCTCCCCTCAAAACGCGAGCTCTTCTGGTTGGACGAGTTTGAGTCACAAGGTTGGTTGGGGCAGTCCCCACCAAAGGGTCGACACCGCAAAATCCACAATTCCTAAACCTGAAATACGAACTGGATCCCAAGCAAACGGAACTCAATCACTATGTTCACTCATGTCAGCCCCTTTTTGTTTTTCGGGGAGCTCACCATCAAATAGGCATATTAGTCCATGGCTTGTCTCAAAAAAGTTCGGGGACCTCCCAACCAGGCCGGGTTTCCTTTTGGTCTCCCTTTAAACCAACCTTCAAAAAGAGATCTCCGTCGCCCCCAAAAAAAAAACGCCGCCAAACACCGACCAGCCCCGCCCCCCCCCCCCTTTCTGTTCCGGGCACCGCACCGCGCCCTGCCCCCAAAAACCCCCCCGCCTCCGGCGCGAGGTATCCCGGGGTGCCGATCTGCGTGGAGGCGAAGGAGGCCACCTGGCCGCGAGGATCTCATCTGCAGCTTTCGATGGCGGTTTTGGGCGAAGAAAAAAACACCTGAAGGTTCATCTCATCTGCAGCTTTCGAGGGATTTGGTTTTGGGGCGAAGAATTAGGCCTGAAGGCTTTCATGGCTCATCCAAAACCGCGCCCATGTTTCGGTATGTGGGTTCTGAAGGTTTTCGACTTTTTGTGCGGCACGCGGGGTCATCATGTCGCTGCCCCTTGAAGATCACCGCAAACAAGCCAACTGCAAGTTTCGCCATGAAGGGTAAGACATATTCTTGTCTCGGTTGCTTTCTGCTCTGCTAAAAGTTCGACAAACTTTTAGTGGTTTACGGAAAACCCAAATTCGTGGGCAAAAAGTGGTTCAGTCCTAACATCCCTTGGCAAAAAAAAAGAGCACCAAAGCGGTTTTGGGCGAAGCAGATATAGCCCCGGGGAATCAAACCCCCCCTCCCACCCCCCACCCCCTACCCCAACCTCCCCCCCACCCCCCCACCCCCCAAGGGTTCACCTCCACGAGCCCAAAGAACCGGATCCCAAAGCTCTGCTATGGATGCGGCATGGTGTTTCTGCGGGTGATGTTTCGGACCCTCAGACCCCTGAAAATAGGCTCCAACCCAAAATTCCTTGGTGATGTCCCTGGTTCGGCTTGTCCTTTCAGGCCAAGAAATGAAATGGGGTACCGAAGTTGCTAAAACCACACACCTGGAACATGTCTGAACCGGGTAGAACCGAGCGGGCGGTTCAACCCTGAGAAGCACACGCCGAGTATCACACCCCGACAAGGACCTCATCAGGTAGAACCACTTGGATGCAAAAGGCTGACCGAAGCATTGCTCGGTGGCGAAATCTGCTCCCCTGCCCCAACTTTAGTGGTCTAATACGGAAAACCCAAGGCCCAAATTCGTTGGCAAAAAGTGGCTCAGTCCTAACATCCCTTGGCAAAATACATCAACGTTTGTTTTGGAACCTATGGACCAAGGGAAACCGAACCTTGAGGGCGATCGATCGGGCCTTGGCGAGAGAGTCAACCCAGGTGAGGACTCTCCTATAAATTCGACCGTTCCTTTGCTCCATGCTAAGGCGGGCTAGAGGGCAAGGGGAGCATTAGTATAAACAAATCCTGCAAATTAAGGGGTAGCTAAAATCAAATTTGAAGAATCAAGAGCATCAAGAGGACCTCAACCATGTCAAGTCCTTTTGGACAGTTCCTGACACGGAATAAGGCAAAACGAACCGTGGGCTTCCTGTGACTGTTAGTGGTTAGCAGGTGTGAGCCATTCAAGCCTGTTGAAACATGATTCAGCATGTGGTTTAAACAACCTGTTGCTTGCCCCAGCGGATCACAGGCACGCCCTTATAGTAGGTAACCAGCCATGTTCCTTTTGGTTTTTAAAGGGTGGCAAGCCCGTAGTTCCCCGGGATCCAGTTAAATGGATCACTTGGGTACAGTTCGAACAAGCTTTCCCCAACCCTGACCCACTTCGGGCGTTCTGGATGATTTGCGCAGGGTTGCTCACGTGAAATAGGACATGGACCCCCTAAAACCCACTTCCTGAGTGGACTGGCCAAAAATATCTGAACTTTTTATTTACCACTAGAATGGCCTTCCCAAAAGGCTTCCCAAGGACTCAGGGAGCGAGAAGATGGATTTCGGTTTGTTCGTTTCCATTGAAACCAAGCAGGAAGGGATCGCCTAGGATCGCTGCCATGGAGGGTCCCTTTGCCTGAACAGGTGGAGGGGCCTGAAAGAAAGGGGTGAGAAGAATGGCAAGGAACGATCAACAAATGGGAGGTGGGATCCTGGGTGGATGAGGCACTTCTCTCCCATCGTCAATCCTTCAGGAGCAACTTGGTCGAAAGGACATGTTTACCCCCAGAGAGGTACCTTCGAAACCTCCATGCGCCAGTTAAAAAAACACATGCCGCTGGTAGATATCCTTTCAAACCAACCGGGGACAATACGAAAAAAAAAGAGGCAACCTTACGTAAATGGAAGCAACAACTCTTATGGTAAGCCTGACCTGCGTGTGTGTGTGTGTGGATAAGTGTCGCGTCGTTTTTGCAAGCCTGAACCCAGCAACCTGACGAAGCATAAAAAACCAACAACAGGACCTAAAACCTGAAGAAGCTGGCAAAAGTCGATCCTATGTCATTGTGTCGCCTAAATTTGGACCCAAACGGTGGTCCCTTTGGCTTCCCTTAAAAAAAAAAAAAAAAAAAAAAAACGGAACCCTCAAAAAACCACACCCCCCCCCCCCCCCGCCCCAATTTTCAGTGTGCACCATACTACGAGGCCGTGGAGGCAAAGCACAGGCGGCCTTTGCAATGCCGAAATCTCCCAGGACCACCGACTCCTTGGAGAGGAAGACGTTCCTGGCAGGGGACACGGGCGTGGCTCATATTTTTTTTGTCTAGCAAGGGCTGTGGAGGTGTCTTCGGTTCCACTGAATGTTAACCCCAGAATAATAAACCCATGGTTGATTAATAGGGGTGTGTCCCCTTTTTGGGTGGGAGTCATCACTTTTGGAGGGACATACTTCCCTAATACTGGGACGGGTTTATCAATCCTGGGTCAACAGGGCCAAGTTTGGGGGGCTTCCGTTTTTGAGGCCACGGGCGAAATGACCTAGACGTGAGCATCGATCGACCAGCTCGGCTGGGAGGACTGGAGGCTTGGATGCTAAAAAGTGCTTGCTTCGGATGGCAGCCGCGGCACCCAGTGACGAAAACCAGCATCAAACTCTTGGAACCACTTGGACCCTCGGACAACTCCCCGAAACATGGGTTCGTGCCGCAAGATCCTGGGGAGAATTCCAGGTTTCATGGGAAGCTTGAAAGGCCAGGTGCTCGCAAACAACTCAAAGTCCGGCAAGCCAACTGACCAATGCTTTTGGGTTGGAGGATGTTTTAATCCCTGGCCCAGACAAGGCTGTGCCAAAGAGACGGAGATGGGCTTCAGGAGTAGAGGAAGAGGAAACAACAGCGCATCTTCTTTTAGGGGACCCTCAAAATGGCTAGGTTCCTTTGAAACCATGAATACAAACAAGGGCCCCGCAACCAAAGAGACACACACAAAGGAAGAAGTGCCTAGGAAAATTTCAGCCACCCGTTCATTTTCCCCTTACGAAGGTACCTAAGAAATCGGAAAATCATATTCTTCTGACAAGACATTGTGAGTAGGGGGCACCAGGTGGATATGGGTCTGAAACACACCAGGCCCCTTGGTGGGCATCAAAATTCGGCTGGGATTCATGTCCACGCACTTGCGCGGTGGCTCTTCCGCGAGCCCAACCCCTGGGTTTTGCGTTTCTGGGCCCGAGGGACCATTTGCCGCGAAAGCCGATCAGGATGATCTCCATGGGGAAGAACCCTGTGCCGTGTCCCGTTTTCCTTTCAATCCGCCAAGCCCATCAAAGGCAACCCTCCAACTAGATACCCTCTTTCCAATCATGGAAGCCGTCGGATGTTGGAAGACAGCCCTCTTGAAAAAGCCGCTTGTCCATGCCCGTTGTCGGAAAAAGGGTATAGACCCATAACCCACTCCCCACCGGATCTGAACCCAAAGGCGATGTCCAAACTCTGATTTTTGAGGCTAGTGACATGCTCCAAATCCTGCATCCAACTTCGTGTTCTTCCTTGGGAGTTGGAACCCGCTTGGAGTGGCTTCGAAGGAAAACCAAAAGGACGACCATTTTGGGTCCCCTAAAAAAAGACGCGCCCAAGTCTATGGGGCATCCACCTAAAGCAACTCAAGGCGAGTTGCAGTGCAAATTGCCCTGGTGAAATCCACATCCAAAGGTAATTCCGCGAAGCTCCTAGACTGCAAACACCAGCCGGGCCAGCGCCGGCTTCACGTCTCGATGTATGATCTGCGCCTCACTCGACATCGCGGATTTGGACATTCAAGGGTATGGTTGTGGGGAGACCTTTCTGTGATAAGTGACATGTGGTAGTCCCCATCCTACTCTGTCACTCAAGAAAAGGTTGTTCAAGGGTATCACAGAAAGTGGCAACCCAAGACCTAGTTCCCACCGTGACAGCTGTTGCCCCCCAACCGCAAATGCCATCTTCGCGTTCTGGGCCACATTGAGGTACCGTCAAATGAGGGCCGCGGATAGCCTGCCAAGGGAAAAACAATGCTGGGTCACAGAACCCCGGCACCTGAAAAGAGCGACCCTGGCTCAGACGGGCCCAAAGGACTGTCACCATGTGCCCATAAATCCGCACCCAAGTACGTATACCACAGTCATAGCCAATTGGTGGGAAACCATGAATCTGCCATGCGCCGAATTTCCATTTCGCGCCACTTAAAAAGATGCACTCCTCTCACAGGGGTCACCGGATGTGTCCTTCAGTTGATCAATTGACTGGCGGTGTTGAACCGATCGAATTCCACTTTTGGCTCGCCAAGTGCTGCGTCTTGCGTTGATTTCCACATGGGGGTTGATCAAAAGGTCCTTTACATGGGGCGACCATTCGGGAAACCCCCAAAAAGATGATATGTCCCAAACGGAGAAAGTGACCCATGCTCAAAACCGGGGCCCCGAATGGAATCTTGATCAACAATCCAACTGGTGGCTTCCTGTGAGGGAACCAAAGCCAAGGTCTTGGTTGATTTCTACATGACTCGCTCGTTCTGACTCGCTCGTTCTACGACTTGTTTTTGTTTCTCAGGCGAAAAGGGGCGTAGAACCTTCGTTTCAGCCCGGCAAAGGCCTGACAAAAGGTCGGCACGGGGGGTGTCTTCCTTTCTGAGGTTGCCGTAACCCGAAAGAACTACCCTTAAATGAACAAGGGAAATGACACCACCATAGATTTGACCGTTGCAATATCCGATTCTTTTGTGGGTATTTTGAGGGTGCAGGAATAAATGCCCCTTTTGAAGATCCGGTAAGGGACGGCTACCTCAGCCCTGCCTGGTGCAGAAAGGCGAGCGCCCCGCTAAGCTGCGCCAGCCTCGGGATTCGGTCGCAACATGTGTCCCAACATGTGCCAGTCGGCGGGTGTCCAGGTTTTAGTGGATGGGTCAAATCCTGTCGAAAGTCCAAGAACAAAAGTTGACAAGAAGGCGCCCACATGTTGGCCAACGTTTAACCAAAAAAGTTGGCAAACGTAAGAACCTCTGCAACCCTACGAATCAACAACCAAACAAACGGGTGTCATTTTTGAGGCTACCCTTTTTGTGGAAGGACACCACCATTTCATACATTTAAAAAAATGACGGGGGGGGGGGGGGGGGGGTACAACACAAATGACACGCTAGAACGAACAAACAAAGGCAACTGGAGCAACGAGTTGGCACACATGGAAGAACGAACGAACAAACGAGCGGACAACAAGCAGAGAACCTCGCACAATTCTATCGCAGCTCTTGGCTATCCAAATGGCTTGCAACCACGTGATACCATTGGCCAACACATCTGGGAAAATACATTAACTCACATTAACTACATTGGCACAGGTGTTTCAATCTCCAAGACGTATATAAGGACATTTGGGAACGGGGAGGCTTTATTTTGCCAGCATCCCTCACGGACTACATACTGGAGCCGCACACCTATGGCAAGTGTGCGACGCTTTTTTCTGGAACCCAAGGAGGGGTTCCGATCAAGGATTCCCACCAAGAATGATGCTTGGTTGGGTTCCTTCCCTTACTCTGATAGTCTGCAGGAGAGCATGTTTATCCTTACTAGACCATTACCCAAGCACGACTGGGTTCCACGTTCATCTATAGAGCTGGGGCCTGCCAACCAACCGACAAACCAACCCAACCCAACCCAAACCAACCAACCAAGGGGACCAGACCTGGTGAACAAAGCCAGCCCGAATTAGTAAACACACACACACACACACGCACACGCACACACGCACACACGCACACGCACACGCACGCACAGAAACACCTCCCTTCCTGGCGATCGCCTCACGTATCTATAACAAAAGCAAAATCAACACGCTGCCGTGGCACCACTTCCAAAGCACCGCCTGGCAAAAGCGCAAAGCGCAGGCCGTTCCGAGCTGAAACCCCGGGTGAACCGGGGAGGTTCCCAACCTGTACCCAACCTGTCTCGGTTGCTTTCTGCTCCCCTGCGAATAGTTTAGCTTTTAGCGGTTTGATGGAAAAACCATTAGTTGGCAACAAGTTAAAGTCCCAACATCCAAGCAAAATGCACCAAAGCTGTGTTGGTCCTTCGTACGGATTTGAGCTCCCGGGCTTCACAAAAACAGGTGGAGCGGGTGGGCACCAAAAGGCAAAACCCTTGAAAAAAAGAAAGGGAACAAGAAACTCACCTTTCAATGCACCACATCATCGGAAACACCAAACAGCGAAAAGGTTTGGGTCTGGGCATGGTTGGGTATGGCAAGAAAATAAACAGACAACACACCAATAAGTGAGGTTGAAGTAAACTCCCAAAATGAGTTGGACTCCTTTTGGTGGCCGTTTGACTATTGACACAAAACACAAACACCCATCTTCGGCGTGTTGCAACGAATGCTTGCCTCGTGCCCATAGACCAAACGCCGGGAGCTTCGAATAAGCGGCCGACCTTCTTGCCCCGGTGGACCACAGGCAGGCCAGTTGTAGTAGGTAACCAGCCGTGTTGCAAGCCCTGAGTTCCCCACGATACAGTTAAATGTTAAGATTGCCGCTGGGAGGTAGAGACTGGAACCATTTAACTTAAATGGATCACTCTTACCAGGGTTCCATTTTGGTTCCGGTTTCTTGAGCCACAGACAAATGGATCACTGGGCAGTTCGAACAAGCTTTGCCCAACCCTGACCCACCCTGGGGCCCTACATGCGACCCTGGCGCCGGTCGATTTCTTGCCGCCTTCCGGGAGTACCAAATATTCGGCGGCCCGCTTCGAACCCCCTGAAACTGAATGACTCACTTCTCGAGAACGTGGAAACCCAACCACTAAACCAACGAAACACCGGAAACACCTAGGGGACAAAAGCCACTAGAGCAACTAGGAACGGCAAAGCCTAGGGGACGGCTGGGAACCAGAAAGGTTCCCCAAAATTTTGCCAACCTCCCAAAAGACCAATCGACTAACGACAACATCAGCCCCCCCTAGGCCCGGGGCAAAATGGGTCTGGAAAATGGCACGTGCCCAAGAGCGGGGGCTCGTTAATTCAGGGAAGGGTATTTGAAGGGGGTGTTTGTTGAGTGTTAAGTGGAAACCAAACGACGCCAGAATCATTCTTCCACACAACGCAAACGCTAACACAGTGCATCTGCATGATCCCACCCCTTGCTGTTTCGACACTTGGCCAGTGGCTTGCAGCCCGCTCGTTGCACGTTCACTCCTCGCCGTATCTATCTCGCAGCGCCGACTCGCTACCTGAGTCGTGCCAGGTCGACTCGCCCGTCTTGTGGTTGAGCCAGTACAACACGCCGGGCTGGAGTCTCGACTCGACTTTGATCCAATCGTGCTGGTGGTGGCAGCGGCGGAGGCGGCGGCGGCGGTGGTGCTCACAGATGAGCGCTATGCGACGCCCTTCCTTCAGCTCAGCTCTGCTCTATATGTCGCACCGTGACATTGCCCAATTGCACCACAGCTGGAAGTAATGCCAACCCATCCGTAAAAGGCCCTCCTTTTAGGCAATTCCCAGAAACCGGTGATCATTGATTGTGGTAGTCTGGTTTTTGATTCCGGTAGTCTAATTTAAGAGCCTTGAGTTCATGCAAACCTCAGGAATGGGCCCTTGTTTTCCTGGGTAAATCGCAAAGCAAAACCAGGGTGGCCAGAGGCTCAGTGAAAATCGTCGCCCGCTGCCCTGCTTGAATCGGAACGTCCGAACGGTCAGGTGAGGACCTCACACCCTGGTGACGTTCTTTTTGGGCCAATTGGAGCAATCGGAGGCCGGAGAACCTCATGGCACCCTTATAAGGGTGGCATAATTCTGCAAGTTTTAGGGTGGCATAATTCCGCAATGGCGCTGGCATCAAGTTGATTTGAGGGGAACCAAAGGAAGCCGCTCACCAACTTCTCCACCCTTGTAGCTTAAAGCGCCGCTGTCTGTTTGCTCTGCATCTACATTTGGAAACTCCGCCGCACCTTGGCCCCACCCCGCGCCGAAAGAGATTATATGTGCAAATTGTGTTTCATGTGGGCATGAACTTTATGAAGGGACCTGAAATGATGGAAGGTGGTAGTTCATGTCTACCAACCACTGTTGATGTATAAAAAAAACAACAAAACAACAAAAAAAAACATTGCCGTATTTAGCCAACTCAAAAAGGGCGAGGGGTTTCTCATGTTCAGCCACAGGGAACCCTTCGTCTGAAAAAAACCAGCCACCCACCAAAAAAACTCTCGGAAGGGGCCTCGGCGAAACGGCGCAGCGGCGGCTCCCGGCGTGTCTGGATGGCCTCGCGGGGGGCATGGTGGGATATAGTTCAGTATTTACACAAACCAATTTGGCCAAACTTGATCCAAGTGTAAACCGGGTTTTCAAATAAGGACAGGTGGAGCCATTTAGGAAGCCTGGGATTCGGAGGTGGAAGGCTTTCTAAGGCAATGAGGGCAGGAGACAAACCGCCTTGCGCTTCGTTGATACCAGCGCGCACCGGCCAAAGTGCCACCCAGCACATGGCCGCCCTTCGGCACACGGCTTGCGCTGACACCAGGGATCAGGGCACGGTGCGGCGACGTTTTTATTGGCCGGCGTGGGCGCTCTCGTGGCAGTGGTAGAAAAATGGGTGTCCCACTAAACCCAGAAATACGGCTCCCCAACAAGGCGCTCGCCTTTAAATTTGGGTGTTGGTCCCTTTTGATGGACCCCCAAAACAGTTGTGGGTTTTCCTTTGGTTCCCCTTTTTAAAACCAACCAAAAAGGGGCAAGCCTGGTCACACGGACATTACCACCATGGCCCAGTCCCCTGTCCATCGGGGAATTCGTAGCCGTTTGGGAGGCATGGAGGCTGCCAGGTCCGAAGATGACCCACCGGTTAAGCAGAACATGTGCGCAACGCGGGCAACGGCCCGCAAGACGAGTGCAGAAACCCGCAAAACTGGTCTAAACGTCGGGCACCTGTTCATTGCTCGGGCAGAAAGGGAAGAATCGGGCGCGAACAGTGTGTCGGAGCAGAACAACACGCAAAAAACAACAATGATGTCAACAAAAGTCCAGGCAGAAAGGTGTTCAAAACCCTTCGAACAGCACTCCTTCTTGGAACCTTTCCGGGAGACAGTACTCCCAAACATCGCTTGGTGTTTTTGTGGTTTCCCTTTAAGCCAGCCCCAAAAGGGGAACCTCAACAACCAAAAACAGTCCCAAGTCGAGCCCTTGAATCAAACTTGGAGACTTGGAGCATCAGCAAATTGAGAACCAAGTCTGCCGGATTCATGAAAATGACCTCTCAACATGTTCCCCAATACGGAGAGGCATGCGCGCCATAGTCAAACTCAACATGTGGGCCACGGCCATGGTCAAGGTTCCCCGAAGAAGAAGCCTCGGCTGTCTAAGTCTCTAAGTGCCCAAAGGACTTCATGACCCCAGGGGTCACTAAATGCCCCATTCAAAAGCTGCACCAATAAAACTGCCACTGAAGCTGCAAGAAAAATTGGGAAATCGAGAAACCCCGCCCAAATCGGGTGTTGTTTTTCACCAACATGTGTCGATTTTTAGGGACCCCCAAAACGGAGGTGGGTCTGCCTTTTGGCTCTTTAAGGCCGCAGAACCACCTAGTCCAGGTGGTTGGGCTCGATCGCTTGGCAAGTGTACCCCACCAAAAAACACACCACGATCCCAACAATAGCTGGCCCAGAAGGATCCAACCCCCAAGAAGTGGATGGAAAAGCAAGAGGCCACAATGTGAAAAGTCGGGGTTCTGGAGGGGGTTGGTCAAAATTCGAGCCACGACCCCATAATTTTGAGTAGATGACCCCATTTTTGATGCGGGCCATAAAGGCTCCAGGCAGGTTTCGAAAAGAGGCCAGGGTGTAGAACACTGCTGTCCTGAAACTTAGCAAAATGACCAAATCCGGGGTGGTTTGGGGTACTGGAAACCTCCCGCTGCTCCTGCTCCTTGCCAAATGGACTATCGAAAAGGCCTACCTCATGGGCAAGGAGCAGGGGTACCCCACTCACCATGTACCCCTCAGTGACAGCGTCTTTCTCGCCTGGCTCAGCCCTTGGAGCCCTCAAACTCCTATGGCCTAGGGTGCGCATCTCTTAACAGTTGGTTAAGGATTTTCATGTGGATGACCATCCAAGTAACTCCTCACTTGCCCCACAAAGGGGCACGTAGAAATAAAAGGCGATCACCTTTTGGGACCTTTACCCCAAAATGGGCACCCGAAAATGTTCGGGTGCCAACCCCAAAGGTCAGATCCGGCCGCTTCCCGGAGGGTTTTTCGTTAGAAACCAGGTATGGTTGTGAACCCAACTCAAAAAAATAAAATAATAATAATAAGAAGAAGAAGAAGAAGAAGAAAACGGTACAGGTGATCAAAAAAATCCTCGCCACTTCGCTGTGGGCAGGTGATCCGATCCGCCTGCTGCAGGTCGCCCTCCATGAGCTCCATGACCTCGGCGCGGCCAAAGGCCAAGGGCGAAGCCCGGGCTCCGAGCACCCGAAGCCGAACCAAACCAAAGGGACTCCAAGAGAAACCAGCCTGAACATGCGCGCGGTTGCTGTTGCAAGAAAGAAACATGTATATATATATATAGTTTATATATATAATGTCTGGGCCTTCGATTCTTCAAATCAAAGTGTCTGGCCTCCGAAACCGGAGGCTCGCAGCAAACCAATGCGAAGCGCGAAGCGCTGGCTCGCAGTTGGAATCCAAAGTGCTTGCAGCTCTCACAACGTCTGCTCCACGCGATTTGAGAGTTGCCCTCTGAGATCATCCAATTTACAGTAAAGGAAATAAGGGCCCCCCGGCGTCCATCTCGGTTAGCCAAGCCAAAGCCATCAACAGGCCTGGTGTGTCCGCTTCAAGTAAGCATCACCCTGAGAGAAACTCAACTCAAGTTGGCCTTCCAAAAGCGATGTTCAAAACTAGGTTTGGGACAAACACTTTCATAGTGATGTTTAAGCCCGCAAAGAAACAAGGAACTCCAACCACCCAAAAAGATAGATATATGTATATATCATGTTATGGCATCCCCAAGGTAGACACGAGGGGAAGGGTACTAGGGTTCGCTGTACAAATGGCTGTGGTTGTCAAAACCGTGTTGGGATCCCATTTTGGTTGGATTGGGTGAATTCACCACCCATTTTAGAACCTACTTTAGTGGTTGGATTGGGATGTTCGCTGGGGGCTAACCGATTTGGATTTTCACCCATGGCCATATCTAGCCGAAGCCCACGCTCCCCTCAGCTCCGAAGCCCTGGCCAGGTGCATGCGATCCCCCGAAAGCACGAGGTCCAAGAACCTGCGCTCGGAACGAGCGCGTGAAATCCGAATTGGAGAATCCAAACGGAAACCCGGAAACCAAGTCAACCAACCAAGCAACCAAGTAAGGCAAGCAAGCAACCAAGCAAGCAACCAAGCAAGCAACCAAGGAGAGCAACCAACCAAGCAACCAAGCAAGGCAAGCAAGGCAAGCAAGGCAAGCAAGGCAAGCAAGCAACCAAGCAAGCAACCAAGGGGAGCAACCAACCAAGCAACCAAGCAAGGCAAGCAACCAACCAAGCAAGCAACCAAGGCAATCAAGCAACCAACCGACCAACCAACCGCAATGTTTCTTACCGTGGTTGTTCATTCCTACTACTTACCCTTGATGTGTCTTACCCAGAAAACCGAAGAAACTTCTTACCCTTGAGGTTGATCATAGGCTTGGAGCAACCCTGATGAAACAGAACCCCTTCAATTTGACCAAACATCTAATTTGCACCTGGAGCCAAACAGAGCGAAGGGATAGTCGAAAAAGTATTATATAATATATATATATATATGGCAGAAAAAAGTTTCTTTCGCGAATCTTTCGCGACTCCATCGCCAAGCCCTTTCGTTTGCCCTTTTGTTTGCAGCATGCGCTCTGGAGCCATTGTGGCTGCTGCAGTTATGCTTGCACACAGGATAGCCGCATGCGTGCAGTACGTAGTGTTAAGTGCAAGCAGTCACTGTCATTCGCCCTTGCCACTTGCGCTTGCCGGCGATGTGCGGAACCTTGCAACAGGCTCCCTGGCCTTTCGCCGGTCTTTCGCGGATCTTTCGCGAAACTTGCTCCAAAATAGCCCAGCCAACGTTATTGATTTGCGCCATTCCCAACACAGGCAGGGAATCAATAATGCAAGTGTAGGTGCTGCGTATCTCCCTCTACAAGGGAGCGGGGTCTGCAAATATGTAAGTGCACAGGCATGCCTCCAAAAATCCAACGCGGAATCTTTCGCGAAAAAGTAAGTTTCTTTCGCGAACTCCATCGCCGATCTTTCGCGGAGGGATTTAAGCCAAGACGAATGGTCACCGAATACATAACTCCTTGCAAGGACCTTTTGATCAACCCCCATATGTATATATATATAGAGATATATGTATACGTACGTATCTTTGTTGGAACCAACATATTCCGTATGCGACGAAAACGGAAGGTAACTAAGTTCAAGGTACTCCCAACCGCATAGAGCGTTTCAACGGTTGGGTTTGAAGGGTAACGAGGACCTGCCAAATGGAGATCGATCGGTTTCAGCCAACAGCTCCTGCCCCGGTGGAAAAGAAGCACCTGCAACCTGTGTCGTTGGGTATACACCCTCCCAAAAAAAGATGGGTGCTGTGCAAGTGGAAAGGGAACAACACATTAGGAATGGTCCTACCTTCTATTTGATTGAAGCGATTGTTGACTGTTGCTAGTTGAATTCAGGCAAAAGTGGGCGTCTTCTGCTTTGGACTAGTTGGTAGAATCTTGCCTCTATTTCTATACACCTGCGTCATTTGTGTCGCGCGTTCACGTGACCTCCTCTGCAAGCTAACATTGGGCCTGAAATGAAGACGCTTTTGGAGGGCCCTCATTGGCTATACGCATGTCATGTTGATGGAATTACGTGTGCGGACACTTTCAAGACCTCTCCAATCAATCTGGACGCTCCTGCAAACATGTGGGTACCATGTCATACACTCAGCACAACCTACACGTTACCTACAATGTGACAAAATAACCCAAACAATCCAAACACAAATCAACACAAACGGGCAACAACCAAAACAACATCCGACTACGGGAAACGAGGCTGTTGAGTTCGCTCCACATAGCCTCCTCCCCCCAATCCGATCAGGGCCTACTAGACCAGGGCCCACAAGGGCCCAAATGCCTAACAAATCCTCATAACAAGGCCTCATAGGTCAAAAAGCTGTCCACAAAGGGGCAAAACCAGCCCACTGGCTGGCTCCTCTTGAATCCAAGACCCCAGCAAACCAGGAAATTATGCAGGACATCCACTTGTTTCTGGGTGGGTCAAGAAAAGGCATCCTGGTTCTACAGGAAATTCTGCCAGAAATCCCCAGGATTTTTGGTGGCCACTTTACAGAAATCCAATTTCCTGTACACCCAAAAACCACTGGCTCACCCTACAGGACATCCTAGGTGGCCTATCCCAGCCTTATCATAGGTGGTGTATCCCAGTTTTAGCCCAGGAGAGTAGTATTTGACAAACTCTACCGGAAGCCCTTCTTTTGTGGCGGAGGGGTGGGGCAGAGGGGTGCATTTGGCCAACGGCCAAAACCCCTCCGCCAGGCGGACCTGGCTTCGATTGACCCCTCCAGCCGCTCGCCTCACGATGTGGGGGTGCCGGATCCTCCGCAGCAGCTGGGCCTGGCCCCGAGCTTTCGACCGTCAAAATGAGAAGATGGGAACGCTGTAAACCGATAGGGCCCCCACCAAAGACGAGACCTACTTAAAAACCTCCTTGACAAAGGCAAGTGATTCTGACGGTAGCGGCCTTCATTTGCTTAAACCCCCCGGAAGAAATGAGAAAATATTTGTCCAGTAGTGGTAGATTCCCTTTAAACAAAATCCAAGAGGTGAACATATAACATATTCTTAAGCAAATGGAAGATGGGTGTGTGTTCTAGGATATGGACCCCCCCCCCCGAACTGGATGTCGGTGTTCCAACCCAAAACAGGATGCATCCGTGGGTGGACCAAATCCGATTCGCACCAACTGGGATGGATCTGACACCCTACATTGGGATTTTTCGCCACCAATCCCAGCCAGTGCGTCTTGTGGATTTTGGCCATCCACACGTCTGGCTACCAAAAGGGGCCGAACTCTGGCTGAAGGGGCCAACCTCTCAATCCCAGGCCTCTAAAAAGGCGGCCAGTCATAAGCATGGGTGTCCTTTTGGGGAAACAAATTGAAAGGGCCCTGGTTGATTGAAGCAATCGGCCCAGGGCCACCCATTTTACTTCTCCAGGAAACTGAACCAACGAAAAGAGGACTCCAAACGGCCACACGGAAACCATGTGCTTACAGACCGAGCAGCTCCGACAGGTTACCACCTGCCGGGCCCCCAGCTTGGCTCCCAAGCACCAGCTGGGACAGGCAGGGCGGGTTTCCACCTTCCATCCTTCCAAGCCTGTGACCTTGGAGAAGGAAAAAAAAAAACGCGGCCTGTCGGCCGACACATAAAGCCGCCCAAAAAGCGACAACCTATAAACCCCCCCCAAACTTCATGAGACTTCCCTTTGAAACGGGTTGCTGCCCCAAAACGAAATGTGATTTCCCCATTTGTGAAGGGTAGTTTGAGGCTCAAAAAAAAAATCGAACAACTGAAGGGGTCCATGGCTGGGGGGTAGGACTGGGTAAGTATTTCGAAGCGACTCGATAGGCGCCCCTAGGTCAAATCACGCGAAAAGTGGCGCACATGTTCTTCCGGCTGGACATGTCACGGGACAAAAGAACAAAGTACAGGCCGAACCAAGGACCAAGGCCTGCGAATCACTTGCATTTGCTTTCTTGTTTGCCAAAATGAGACACACTGAAAAGTAAAACAAAAAACACGGCCACTTGAAACCCACAGGAAGAAATGGGAGAAGACACATTCAATTTCGGTAAATGGACAGCTGGTTTCGAAACGATAATCGCCTTGCTGCGAAAAGTTGGAGATTAGCCTCAAGGAAAATCCAGACAAACAAAGAAATCTAGGGAATTGAGTCATAATCAAAACCTCCTGCTAGGTATACCCACCAGATCAATTTTAAAGATAGAAAAGAGCGGCTGCACCTATTCATGGCTGGGACTGAACCTTCACATACTCGGGTTTCGATTGTTGTCTTTCGCTTTTAACCACGCGCAAGGCAAGCATTCGTGCTCAACAAGAACCCGCTGAAAATGCCAAAGGGAAACCACGAGCACTGCCTCCTTGCATCAGGTTCCGAATGTTAGTCGCACATATGACATCAATCCTGCGCTCAGACACGGCGTGTTGCCTCCTGCTCGGCCATGCGGCGCTCCTGACGGCAGGAGAAAGCTTGTGTTTGCTTGAGTCAGTACCAGCCATTGTGGAAGTGCAGTGCAAGAAACACCCCCGAATGATTGCATTTCACAAGGAAGACCCAGCAAAAACGGCTGACGTGGTGGCAACCAACAGACCTCCCTTTCAGGTCAGCGTCTTCATACCAGGCTTAAGAAGCTTGGATCCTAAGTCTTGCGCCTTTAGCCATACCCAGCCCAATTCCAGGCGAAACTTGTTGAAATAACAGCTGGTGTGGAAGCAGAATGGGTGAAGAGATCGGGGAATCCACCCAAAGAGACCCTATAATTGAAACTCCACCCAAAGAGACCCCATGTACTTTGAAAGTCAGGTCTCCTCAGTACAGGTAGTCTAAGCTTGTTGTGCGAAGCCCAATCGATCTTCGATCCAAGAGGCAACCCTACTTTGAACTTTGGGTAACCCTCAATAAGCTCCAGCAGGGTTCCAAAGTGTGCCAAAAACTCGTCGTGTGAGTGGAAATCACATGGCAAAGGAATCTGCATTCTACCGTCTACCCAAAACCCACGGGTTTTTGAAAGCGCAAAACCCCCGCGCTTCTCTCCTTCGATGGTCGGGGAAGCTGACAAGCAATTCACCATAGTTCCAGTCGGAGGTTTGCTCGCCAGGTTGACCCGGGTTTTTTTCTTGCTCCTGTCCTATCAGGATGGGGCCATTCCCATCTCGCGAAACTCAAAACTCCCAAGGCTCGCCCTCGCCATGCCAGTCGGAAGGTCTCTCCATGGCTCGTCTTGTCCTTCTTCAGGATTTTGACTCCCCCCCGACAAAAAATGGGGAGCAGGTTTTTCCTTCTGGAGTCCCTTTGGAAGGAAAGGGGGTACCCCTCAAAAAAAAAGGGAGGTACATATACCAATCGGCGGTCTAAAAATGACGGGGGGTTGAAGCACTCTGGGGACAAGGGTCTGTCCATTCAACTCACAAGGATGGCTGCAAGGACAAAACCCTTCCGCGCAAAAGATCTGTCTCCAGAATTTGGCACACGTTCCTTTCAGCGTCCTTCCAATTTTAACCACCCAAAAAGAAGCGCCCAGTAAAAAATAAAAACAGCCGTTGGTGACCTTATGGACAAATTGAGGGCACGGGTAAAAGGGAATAAAACCAATCCAATCCAGTGGAACTTATCTACGTCTAACCAAACTAACCTAACAAACGGAAGCCAAAATTCTTTCCTTGGCTGTGGGTCAAAACCCAGGGAACCCCTGGTGAACTTCAAAATAGCTGGCAAATGGATGAACTCATCCACCCCAAAAATGGGATCGCCATAGGTTATGCAACCCATGGCCCTTTGCTGGGTTGACGTTGGCAGGGAGCAAACATCTAAATTTTAGCAGTTCAGTGGTTGGATTTCAACCGCTAAACCACAATAAGCAAAACATGTAAAATGGTTTTCTAACAACAACCAAGTTAAGGAGAAACCCTGATTTTCTTTCTAGAGGCCACCTCCATGGCCCTCCATGGCCCTTTGGCAAACGATGGGATTTCGGGTCGCCCGCCTGCGGTGTCATCGCCTCCAGGTCGATGCACTTCACCGCCACGGGGCCGGCCTTTCCCGCGCGCGCCTGGCGGGAAAGGGGCGACGGATGGAGACCCGTGGTTCCTCATGTGGGCTTGTCTCTAGCTGTTTTAGTAGAGCTTAGAACAAATAAAAGTACCCGATTTTTTTCCTGTAGCCAATTTTGGGGGAACCCTCCCCCAAAAAAGAAACGGTACAAGGGCACCTAGCTGGGGGACCTAGGTCTTTTTGTAGGGCGCTGGCGAAGAGCGGACTTAGACTTAGATGCCCAGTGGCCGAGGGAAAAATGGGGCATCCTTTTCTTGGTTGCTTGAGTTTAAAGGGAACCCTTCCCAAAAAAAAGAGAGAAAAAAGGGCACCACTGGGCAACTGGATAGATGACTGGTCAGAGATATACATGTCTTCAGAGAGTTTCAACTGCGAGATCCACCAGGGATACTCCCAGAAGACCAGGCTGGACCCCCCAAAAGTCGGCCCGCTGGGTTTCCTTTTGGCCCCCTTTTGTGTTGGCCAACCACCAGGGGGTCCCAAAAAAAGACTCTTTTCTGGAAACAATGAACAAAAACCCAGCAGTGACAGAGTCCATTTCAAACCAGAGGGAACATTCATTTCAGCAAATGCTAGGTCCTCCGGTAGAGAGGTTGGAATAAGGGTAACAACTTGTTCTGTAGTTTATTTTGATAGGGGAACCCTCCCAACCAAAAAAGAAAGGGCAAAAGGGCACCAATTGCTGGGGGACCTATGGAAGTTTTGGGATGGCTGGGGACTGAGGAAAGACACCAGAGCCTCCGCCCCAAGAAACATAAGCACGAGACCTTCGAAAGCTTCCAGTGGTGTGCTGCCTGGGCGAAAATGTGAACATATGGGTGTGGCTCAAAATTAATGAACTAGGGTTACGCAGGTTTTAGTCTTCGGTTCCATTTGCCAAGTTGCCATTTTGGTGCATGTTTTTGAGCCACAGCCATATGTCCAGGAAAAAAAAAAAAACACATCTTCAGAAAATGGAAGAATGGTCGCATGCATGAGTTGACAATTCATTTCGGAACATGGAACACCCTCTGACTCACAGCCTCAAGCTTCAGGACCATCTCGCTATTGACGTGTGCGCCCAGAACACCCCGACTTTGTGCAGACCAAATATCAGAGAGGTTTTTGGGGGTAGTAGGTCCCACACCCCTGTAAGAAAAATTTGGTGGAAGGGCGCCCACAACGAAAAACACCAGGGGGCAAACGCCAACGGGGCTTATTTTGACGTTCAAAGCTGGAAAACCATTTTGATTGGGACTGCTGAAGAGAACTTGGGAGCCCAGGATTTGGCTCACAACCGCCCCTTTTTCTTACGCAACGGCGCCGTCTTTGCTCGGGGCGTTTGCGTCTGTGCTGTGCGAGGAATCTCGCGGGCTTTCAAGCCTTGTCCTTGACCAAACTTGGTTTCCCACGGGGGAAAAAAAAACTGTGCGGTGGGTGGACAAAATCTATTTGGGGGTTGATCAACATTCCATTTAAACTTTTACCATGGTGGAAACATCATATTTTTAGTGGTTGTTTTTTACATGGGCATCCCATGTAAAGGCATGTAAAGGACCTTTTGATCAACCCCCACTTCGCACCAATTGGGTGTGGTGTTTGTGCATCCACCGTAGGGCAGGAATAATGATCATCCGCCCTCTGGAACCCAACTAGGCTGAAGGGGGTTGCCTGAAAAGAGATTGCTCGAAAAATGGATCGCCGTTTGGGGCTCCATGTTGGACTTAGATGGGGGAAATCACGTGATTTTTAACGCTACTTACGAGGGGGGGGGCTAGGGCCGAGCTGGAGGCTCAATGGCGGTATGTGACCACTTTCACACCCGGAGCTATGGGTAGCAGGCCGTCCTCTGTGTGGGAATGGCAATAGTAAAGGGAACAGAACTAAAAATGCCTACGCCCAAACTTTGCTCGCACCTATTTGCTGGCATTGCCATGGGAATAGTGGCAAAAAAAACAGCTTTGTTTGGAAACGGCTTTGTCCGAAAATGGGGGACCAGCAATCGCACTACAATCCCACTACAATCCCACTGGGCCAACTTAGTTCCATGCTCAGTTTTGATTGGCCAGCCTGAACTCGCTGTGCCTTTCCCAGAATGAAGCCAACTCACCACGTGGGTCAAAACGCCGTCTAGAGACCATCATGCGAGTCCTGCCATGCGAAGACTATATATGCTACAAGCTTCACTCCAATGAAATCATCCTACAGTCCTGCGATCCTACATCACCCCGACAAGGAATCATCCCCAACCGTATAACCCCGAGCTTCCGAAGAGCCGCGCTCAGACCCGCGAGACTCCCCGCAAAACTCATCGGCAGGCTCCACGCCCGCCGACGCGTCTCTCTGCGTCTGCGACCGACGCGCCCGCCGATCCAAAGCGGCGGGCGGCTGTCCACAGATGGCGAAGGATGGGGGATGCGGGTTGGAGTGTCAAAAAGAGGCTTTGCTTACTTGTTTGCTTCCCCGGAATCCTTCCCTTTGAAGGAACATAGCATTCAGTTTGACCATGGCATATGTACAAACCTCCTGTGAGAAGCAACGCATTCGAATAGCTCACAAACCTAAAGCAGCGGTGCCCTATGAGAAGATCCTTCGGTCCTTCATCGTGGTCGCAAGCCAAAATCGGAACACACCACAAGCCTCCGTTCCCTTTTCGCAAGTGGCCTGAGAATGGCCAAAACGCATGACGGAACTTGTTGGGCGTGGACTCCAAAACAAAGATCTACTTGTGCAAAGGACCTGAAAACAAAAGGCTCCCAAACCCACGGTATGTGAGCAAATTCATCTTGCTTTGCAGCCACCTGCCCAAAAGAAAAGGACAAGAGAACCAAAAGTACTATCCCAAAACGACATGGCAAGTGGCAATATCGGAAGGCTGATCCATCCCTCTTCTTTTCACCCGTTTTGAGAAACCCAATCAAATCTGTAACACAAAATACAAGACATCTAACAACGAATATATATATATATTTACGAATGGTCCAAAACAACAAGACACATAACCAGAAATATCCACAAAGCTAGCTTCAGACTTGGACTTTTCAAGGACCCAGCTTTTCAGAAGGCCAGCTCGCTGAGCTCAGAAAAAAAGGAGAGAAACACCTCCCCCCAATTTCCGCTGCTCCCACGGACCTGGGCCCTCATTTAAAAAAAAATGGCCGGCGAGCCTCCTGAAAAGCCATGGGGTTCTTCCCAAAAGGGAATCCCCAAAGTGGAAAGGTGATTTTAAAAATGAAAGGCGACTGTTGTTTGGTCGTTGGCAAGAAACATATCCAACAGAAACATATCCAACGGGGATCCTTATGCATGAAAAACACCTGAACATTGCAACTTGTAAATGGTGGTTTCCAACTTTCATTTGGTGTCGAAAAGGCCACATGTTTCAAATGGTTGCAACATGTAGATCTTTTAAGGAGCCCTGCCCAATGGGTGATTTCCCATGTTTCAGGAAGTTTGAGAGGTATCTCTGAATGGATGCCAGATTCAATTGGGGCAACCGTTCAAGTAACCAGTCAACTGCAAGGTGTCATCCTTCCATGGGAGACATACATATGACCCCCGATTGCGCCACGCTACCCCGCCTGCGCGCGAAAGCGCGCGCTTTCGCGGGGGATGTGTGGGGCGCGGTCATTTCGAGCCTGTGCTATCATCGTCTTGGATGTTCAACCTACTTGGAAAGTGGGTTATGACCATCGCTACAAGTCAGACGAGTTCAATATGATCATTTCTTCTACCAAGCTTATAACCCGCAAACACTGCTTCACTGCCTCAGCCTGTCCAGTGGGAATAACCCACTTGAGTCACAAACAAAACCCGGTACAAACATGGTCGACCCAGAACCATGTAAAGAACTAAGAAGGCGGCCGCAGCTATTTATGGCTGGGATCGTCCCTTGCTAACCTTCACTTGCCCACGTTTTGATTGTGGCTCACTTTCCTAACGTAGGCTGAACATCCCGTTGTCATCTGTTTTCCGGCCGGGCACAGTGCCGAGGGGGACTACCAGACTTCCAGGGCAGCTCAGTCGCTAACCGCCGGAGTGACGCCTCTTCGCCCCCTCGCTCTCAAACCCAGCAGTGGAACGGTGTGGAATGCATCTCCAGGGCTGTGGAGTCGACTTGATGCCAACCAGCTTGGGTGTGAGTCTTATTGGGTCAAGGACCCTACAAATGTGGACCTCCAAATTTGCTGAGAACAATGTCCAACCACTGGGGTTCTGACGAACAACTTGCCTCCCTTGGTCATTTCTGGGGTTCCCGAAGGCCAAGGGAAACCCACGAAGATTCGCTCGGTGTGGAGATGGGGGTGACCCCAATTGGGAGTCTGAAAAAATGTCTTCGAATAGGAGAGCCGAAAAGGTGTGTGTCTGTGTGTGTTCGCACTTTGTTCTCCTCTAAAAGCCCAAAAATGGCACTGCCAAAAAAAGATGAGCCACCCATAGACAGGATAACGCTCTTCGGGAAGTTGCACCCTAAACCACAAGGTTGACATTCATTCGGGGGTTGACATTGCCCCGCTGACTCCAGATGTAGAGCCCCCGCGAAAATGTAACCTGACAAGAAAAAACATTTCTAAAAGGAATGCCAAGTACAAGACCTACATCACCCAAACGACCTAACCCCCCCCCTCCGCCCCATCATAGTAGCTCGCTTAATATCCGGATCAGTAAGCTCGAAACTAAGCAGCTGGATTCCATTTCCCACAACCCTGGATCTTTCGGATTGAAACTTGGCCGCGCAGTTCGAGCACCGGAGCCGGCCACTGATCCGTGAATCCGAGGACTGTTGAAGAAAAACCATGGGGTTGTACTTGTACTTGGCATGGGTGTTCTTTTGGGAAAATAGATCCCTGGTAGATGATCGAAGCAATAGGCCTACTAGGGCCCTTTGTTTCTCAACTAAACTGAACAAAAAGGACACATATGGCACTTGGGTGACCGGTTCAATGGGTTCTAACGTAACAAATGGGTTCGATCCTTTCGAATCCTACCTGAGTTTGTTTGGTGCAAGCTGCAAGCTGGAAC